TACTTTCGATTTGATTTGAAACTGTCTCATTGCTTTATGTTTATCAATAAAACTTTGAAAAGAAAAAAATACCCAATTTGCCTTGGATATTAAAAAAAAAAGAATGATGGGATAAGTGTGCTTGAAATGAGGGGAACACTTTGAGGAAGATAAAAGGTAACATCTTTTGCTACAATAAATGAAAAAAATTTAAATGTCATTGTCTATTTTGATCCACTTCATATGCAATCTACAACTTATTACTCTCATTCTGTTGCATTGGCTTCCCCAACACTTCATTACTTTACAGCTTTAGAAATACAGTGGTGTCAAACAAATTCACTGGGATTAGAACTTTGGATGGTAATTAGCTTAAGAATTTCTAACCTGATATATATGTTAAACTAAACTAACAATAGCAGGGAATATTCACATTTTATTACTAAAGTATATACAATAATCTTAAGCTACTAAAATGCAGGGCTGATTTCCTGAACATTAGAAACAAAGAGCCACATATGTATGTACTCAACCAACATCCAGTGAAAAGAGTAAAGATTATGTTTATGGTACCTACATTTGCATCCTCAAGGTTGTGGCCATTGGTCTCGACCAATTCCTTGGTACCTTTTAACTGCAAATTTTAAAGAAAAACAAACAAAAAAATGAATAAGCAAGCATATTTAAATATATGTCATCTTGTTAATGTTATTTTTCTGAGGCTGCACTTTATAAACTTCCAGTGAGGAAATGCAGATGGAGCGCATAATTCTAATGAGTCTTACTGAAACTAATCTGAGACCAGTATTTTATAAAGCTTGACAGTTTAAAAAAAATAGGTTGTGGTCATTATTTTTAAAACAATAAGATTAGAGAGCAGTTCTATAGTCATAAAATGTATAAAATTGGTTCTTAAGAATAATAAATGATTCCATTTCCTAGTTGGATTGCTATTAATTTAAACCCTGTGGTGTTTGTAAGTTGCCACCAGCTAAATGTTATGCTAATGATCATTCGTGAGTGATGGATCTTTCAGCTGTCTGAACATGCTGCAGTGCTGCTGTACACATCTTCCTTGAGAACCCACTTGAATGGCTGGCATCATGTCTGGACCTAAAGGGTAAGGACAGTTGGCTTTTCGTAGAGGGAGAGCTGGAAAGACATCTTCTTGGCCACTGGAGCATCAGAAGAAAAGCTATTTCTCAAATGAGATTTTTAACAGGGAACATTTGAAAGTACTCTCCTTCCTCAGAGGATAAAGAGTAATCAGACGTGAGCACATTCCAGGAAATATTTAATTGGCATTTTATCCTGTCTTGACTCAGAACAGAGAGTAAAGGAAAAGGTGAGCTGATCTTGCAGCTGCTTGCCAGAATTTCTTCCCAGCTTATGATGCTTAAGAAGCTGTATCTTCATATTTGTATCCACCTACTAGAAAATATACATGATAAGAAATACCTAAAATTTGAGCAAAATCAAATTCATGTGTACCACCATGAACTGTTTGATTGGCAACACTTTTTTTTTCCTGGTTATTTGTGCACATTAAAACAAAAACATTTTCAGGATTTTCAGGGTAATCTTGAAGAAAACCATTCCCTCTCCATGCCAAGAGAGGGGCTATGCTAAAGAAATGGTAACACAAAGAATCTGAAGATAGGGCAGGCAGCTAATTATGGACACAAGTCTCTTTGTCTCACTGTCACATCAGCCCACTGAACAAACAGCTGCCTACTCTTCTTCAGAGCAACATCATCGATGTTTCTAGCCTAGCACACACAAAGGAGCATGGACAATGTGTGATAAATATATAACTAGAAAAAACACACCCAGTGAAAAAACTATTCTTATCAGAGTATACAAGAGTCTCACAAAGCTAGCTTAAGGTTTCTTATTGAGGTGTTCCTCCTATTCTTCCCCACCAACACCCCATCTGCTCATCACACTTTTGGTTCTGATACTTGTGCTTCTATGAGGTAGACTAAGGTTAGGTCAGAAGCTCTGTTCTTGTGCAGCAGAAGGGAAGGATTATTTATTAAAGCTTGCTCAACATTTTACATGCTTACCAGCATAAAGGTGACAGTTGGCCTCCTTCTCCCTTTTAAACTAATTCTCTTTTCCCAGTCCATGTTATCCTTGGAATGCCCTTTGTCTTTATGTGACTCATTCTCCTCTCCTTTTGTCTACAGTATTGCTCACTGGTCGCTCTACTCTGTCAGAACTCCACCTGCAACTCCTTCTTTTCCTGTGAGCACTTCTCCCTGCAGCTGAAGCTCCAGGTCCTGCTTCTCTGCCCTGTGGTTCATTCCCTAGTTCCTATTTTCAGCTGTTCCTCTTCCCAAATTGGGGCTAAAAATCTTGTCTCATACACTTGGGTTGACAAAGGAACTCTGGATGTAGAAAACTCTCACAATCCTCAGATAGGAAAGTCAGGAGTCAGAAAGGCCAGAGGGGCCTAGGAAGCTACATCTCAGCAAATGGGAGCAGCAGGAATAAATCACCACTTCTGGCCTTCCTGAAGGGGCGGTGGCCTGATTGGGAACAGGTCTGTGTTCAAAACACAGTCTCTGGTCAGGATTCTTAAAGATGACATTCACTTTGAATAGCAAAATTGTAAGTCTTCAGAGAAGGGTATATCACTTCTAGTGTGATGTGTGTGCATGTGCCCATTTGTTAAGGCCATATATATGTAAGCAATAAAAAAAAATTGTTTACACATATAGTTACTCTAAATGGATCCACAAAAGGCATCATAGACCATGCTTGTGGAAGTGAGGGATGATTTTCAAAGTACGTCTGTGGGTGGTGAGGAAGCTGCAGGGACACGGAGGGAACATGTACATTGCCTCCTGCTCCTGGAAGGACCATCTGGGTATCAGGCAAAGGATTCACAGGCAAGCAGATTGGTGACAGCAGTGCAATAACACTCAACTGCCTTTGGGTGTGATGTGTCACTGGTCCCCTGAGACTTAGGTATTCTTGATGCCTCAGCTTGAAAGGCAAGATTTGAAAATAACTCCTTTCCCATGGTATTTTCTAAGGTCTTTAATAATTTTGTTCTGAATCTTCTTCACATTCTTCTTTTTTCAGTCATGGAAAGTGAAGTATGATGTCCCCAAAATACATGCCATAGCAAGATTGGATAAATACTTTCTGCACAACTCAGAATCTACTTTTATAACTGGGGTCGGGACTTCAAATAAAACTAAGGATTTGAGTCATTTAGAAAAAAAGGGAAATTAACTGTTCTCCATTCTAATGAACACTATTATTAAAATTTTTGGAGAGAATGGAAAACAAACACAAAGTTGTATATGTCTGATCTGGAGCAAACTGGAATCAAGCAAGTTTCTCATTGCCAGAAGTCTCATAATAATGATAGAGGGTGGTGATTGTAGGTCTCAAAGAAACTGAGATTTCAGTCAACCAGACTTTTCAGTTCAGTGCAATGTATCCAAATCATACAGATTCAGCCTCACTGTAATTTACTGAATCTATATTAATCAAATGAAGGTAACCATTACTTCCATAAAATATTTTCCTCTAAAATTAAAAAAGTTTATAAACTTTTATATCTGTGGGTGAGGAAGAAGCTGCCCTCTTTTTATGAGGCTCCTTATAAGTCACTTATATTTTTTTCTGTAAAATAACTAGAAACATGTATTTTTAAATTCTAAATGATTGAAAGATAGAAAATCATTTATAAAGAGATTGAGTACCAGCTGTGCCACAGCACTCACTTACTTCATATTTTCTAAAATGTCACTTTTGAGGTTACTCAGACAGTATAAAAAAACTGTTTCATAAGCAAGTGAAAATATAAAACAATCCAGAGTTGACTGCAGGGGTTGGAGTTACTATCTGTGATTTTTCCTGCCATCTAATTAGCAGTCATTACGTTGTCTGCAGAAAGTGAAGGTCAGGAATTGGAAAGTATTTCAAGGGCTCTCTTGGCTCTTCCAGTGTATAGACTCTAGGGCTTGGATTTCACTCTGCTGTCTGCTACCTGATCCATCTTACCCTACTGTAAGACAATGCCTTCCTGTGTACTTATCAATGTCAGGCCACACTTTTTTTTTTATCAAAGGAAGCCAGAACGAAATGATCAGACTTACAAATGTCATGTGAATGATTCGTTGCTCACCACTGTCAGATAAGAGCCCTGATGTAGAGAAAAGAGATGTTTTTTTTTTTTTTTTTTTTTTTTTAATGTTGCTGCCAATACTTTAAAACTTCATCAAAATTCATTGTAGAAGAAGCATTCAATAGCGCAGGCAGGTGTTGGTAGTTTGGGTAGGTACATGATGTGCAAAGATGTTAAGAATTGCATTATAAATTCCATGTGGGAAACCTATTGGGAGGCTTGACAGAGTACAGGCTAATCATCCTGCAGATTTCCTCAGGTTTGTGTGAGCAGCGTACGAGGGAGTTTGCGTTGGGAACCTTTAGATTCTTAGTAAATCAGAACATGTACCCTTCACTTACTTGTTCCTGCAGGACTTTTAGTAATGCTTGTGTGTGGGACTGCTCTTCCTTTGCTTGTTCCAGTTCTGATTTTTTGCTGTTTAACTCCTCCTGGATGGTCAGCAATTGCTGCAAAATTAAAAGGATACTTAGTGCATTGAAGAAGAGGTGGATATAAGATATTCAAAATATGATCAAAATGATGATATTTTTACATGTTTTAAGGCTTTATCCAGATACCAGTTGACTTTGACATTTTGTCTATGTGTTTTTCCTTCTTAATATAAGGAATACTCTAGTCCTGGTCACATTATTAGCTTGTGATACAGATGTACAAAAACTTGTTTTAGAATTTGGAAGACACTATTATATTCCTCTGAATGAATGCATATTTATAAACATGTAGAATAGTGTCAATAAACATCATATTTACAGATGATGAAACTAAATAATAGAAAAGATAATCAGTCAACTTGGTCCAGTTTAACATGTACAGTAAAACTATCTTCACGTAGCTCCACAGAGCTGCTTGACCAAGCAGCAGAGACCATAAGATCTTATTTTCTCTGTGATGATGGTGATGTTTTGTTGGATCAGCAGGACTGAAGTCCAAGCTGCAATCAATAGATCAGCTGAAAAAACTGCTGAAATAACCTGTCAAAATACTATGCTGTGGCCTACATGGCTATTTTTTAAGCAGGGCTACTGAAGAGATTTTTGCAAGCCCCAAGCGTTCCCCGCTTTGCCCATGCTAACACCTGTGGCGGCTCGCCTTGTCTGCCTGGAGGCCTGTGCTGCCCATCCCATCCCTGCCCGGACTGTCTGGGACAGGTTCTCCACTGATGTACCCAGAGCTGGATAATGCATCAAGAGCTCCAATGCAGGCCCTAGAAACAGCTTTGTCTACTCAGCTTCTTGACAAGAAAGGCCCAGAGTGAAAACACACCAGAGCATTTTCCTGCACCGTATGTAACAAACGCTGTACAAATGCTGTGGAAGCATTAGTGTGCTCCCACTGCAAAGAGGCCGGTCTCCAATATCCAGGCTGCTTCTGTGCAGCCCTGATGAACTGGTGGTGGAGCTTCCTGGATGGCTCCTAACCGCCAGAGCATGAAGAAACACTGGCATTGAATTTCTCATACTTAAGGATTAAGTTAAATCTTCAAAACTACTGGGTTGGGGACTTTTAGGGTAGGAAATGCTCAGAAAAACACTCTGTGCTTTGCCTGGGGCTTACTAGTGCTGTTTCCTACTTTGGCACCAGATTTAAGAATGTACGTTATTTTCACGAGCATATGTACTGATTTCCTTGTGATGCCCTGCCCATGTCACTATCACATGTAAGGGCATCACATGACACCAGATGGCTCCTTGACAGTTTGAATGATTCAGTTATGCATTGATTGGCTTGAAATCACCAAGGAGGAAGTCTCTGTTCTCTTCTGGCATGGTGATAAGTACCCAGAGCAACTCAAACAGTGAGGGGATGACACTGTCCCTTCATGCTATCTCGGCTGATTCCAGATCAGTCTCCAGAGGGGCTGGTGCTCTGACTTAGGTCATGCTAAATGAATTGTTAGCTTTTACTATACAATTACAAATTCATCTTTAACCTTACTTTTAAAATGAATCAAATGATAGATAGGAAATTATTTTCAAAAGTAAGTAGCTTGTTTGCTCACTGTAGCACATGAAATGGCAAAATACAGAAACAACTTAGGTCTAGCAGAAGGAAATTAGTAACATTCACAACAGTCCTCACTAGAATGCTACCCAGCCTTTAAAAATGAAGCTGCATGAACCCTAGACACAGAAGACACACATAATACGCTACTCAATGAAAGACAGTCCAGGTTACGAAAATACTGCAGTTAATTTGCCAACATAGTCACAGAGAAGAATAATATTCAGATACTGTCTGAGTATGTAAATGTGTGGATCTTTCTGTTAATTTTGTTTGCTTATTTTCTGTTATATCTGCAATGAGTATGTACTACTTTAGTAATGAGAAAAAGATAAAATGACTTTAAGATGGAGGGAAAGACAAAGAAATTATCACTTGGACACAAATCTCAACTGGTGTAGTGTGAACAGCCACTGGAAAAGCATTATTATTTTTTTGAAAAGCATTATTCAGTTTCTTAAATTTTGCCAATAATAGAATATACAGATTCTTCATCTTTAAAAATATTATCTTCTGTGAGCCCCTGTGACTTTCAGTATCTCATTGTATGCTTGCTAGTTATGGAATTTTATTTATACTCTTTCAAAGTACAGTCACGGACAGTGGTTCTTAATTCTGGCTATCCATTAACATTATCTGGGAAGCTTTAAAAATATGGATTTCTGAGTCCTGCAGAAAAGCAATTAACAGAATATCTAGAGGTAAGGCCCAGGTATTGATGATTGTTCTAAAACCTTCACAGATAATACTAATGTGCAACCAGGGATGAGAACTATTGCTTCCTTCAATGCTCCTTCAGTCCTCGGTTGGCTCTAAGTGACTTCAATCCTGAGCGCACTGCTCACACTGTTCTTGCTGATAGCACCAGTGCTTTGCTAAATGCTATCTCATATGCCAGTTCTTTTCTTCTCACCATACTCCTGGTGATCCCATTTGTGCCCATGGCTTCAGCCACACACATATCTCATGTGCTGGTAAAGCTATCTTCACAACTTAGCCTTTCTCTTCTTGCTCACTAGATGGTTCATTGACCAAGGTCCCGAGAAGCACATGTTCCTTCTCCACTCCTTACATATCTCAGGTCTCCCCTCCTGCTATCCAGAGTTGAAACCCTGAAGTCAATCTTGATTCCTGTCACAGCCTCAAAACCAATTTGCCTTTTCTTCATCTTCTCACTGTCATCGTTCAGGCTGCTGTCTCCTCTCCTCTAGCTTCTGCCATTTTCCCCTGACATGCACATATACCCTTAAGAGAGTTGACTACTTCAGAATGACAGCACTCCCATGCTTAAAAATAGTATTAGTTTCTCAGAACACTAGACAACTCATCTTTCCCTAGACATGCTAGGTCCTTTCATGACTTATGACATGTTTACTACCTGGCATTCTGCCTGGAATTCCTACTTAATCTTCAAGCTCCAACTCCAATGTTGCTTTGGGCTACCACCAAAGCACATGATACCTCTATGCAACTCAGAAGAGGCCTGTCCTCAGGTAGATATAACCATGTATCAGTAGTTGATAGGCACTAGATTTTATTCCTATTCTCCCCTATGGCCTGGTGTCCTTCCCCAAGATAAAAATCTACACAATTTATGCAGGGGCCCTGGGTTCTCCCCTGTGGGTTTTTCCTCAGTGAAAATAATGTATCCTCTAATTGTCCAAGTAATGTTAATTCATCTACATTCTATGCTTCCAAAACCCTACGGTATACTACATTTCATACTTACCTCCCCATGTGACTATATCTACCAAAAATCAGGGCATATCCAATACAGGGTAGATAGAAAATAAATGAATGACTGAAGGAATGAAGGAATGTCTGATTCAGCTTCCCTGCTTTTACAGAGTTAAACCATGATTTAACAAACAAAGCCAGAAACTACCTGATCTTGTATCACTGGATAATTTATTGTTCTAGACAGATGGATACATAAAACTTCCAGAGGAACATAAAAGCACCATTTAAGACATTCTGATTTATTACTCTGGTAGTTTCAGACATCTTTCTTAATCTGCAGAGGAATATTTCTTAAAAGGTTAAATAATTCCAATCAATGAATTTATAATTATGCAATTTATTTCCCCAAGTCCCACTGCAAAAAGAAAAAAAAAAAAAACACCACCAAAGGAAAAAATAAAGTCAACACACTTAGTAGACTATTTCTGCACTTTACAAAATTAATGCTTTGTTTTGGTTATAAAGTATATACTTGTGAATCCAACATTTATGTATTCAAAATAGTGGTGATTCAAAACTGCTATTCTTCATTTGTCTACATGCCCTATAAAAACAGTGAGCTAGTTTAGAACTAGATAATTTAAGTCAGATTTTCCGGGCTTTTTCATTGAAATTTATTATATTGTATAATATTCTTTTTAGTCTGAATTTTTAAGTAACAATGTGTCTTAATTACAGAAGTTCACAGCAGCTAGAACTTATTCAGAAGTGACTCCTGGTTGGATTGGCTGACTGCAGCATAATTTTAATTTAACATTTGAGAGCATGGCATTAAACAGATGCACTATTACATTCTTTGGTGGTTACAACTGAATGTATTCCAATTAGACAATTATCCATATGCCAATCAAGAGGAAACACTCTGGTGGACAATAAGCAGGTAAATATATACTGTACCTGACACACTGTGATTTTCCTAGGCCACTGATTTTAATAGAATCCCTTGCTCTTTGGGGATGCAGACTTCAGTGTGTAATGGGTCTTTCTTTATAACGAATTCAAAGAGCATTACAAATGTTATTTGGAGCCCCAGAATAAGTGAGGTCACATTTCCATTTTTACAGATTGGAGAATTATAGGCACACCAGGGTTGAATCATATATCTGAGGTCATACTGTCTGGAACAGACCTACCACTTACACAACTCAATTTTCCGGCCTCAGACTGTGATTTCTACCTTGGCAACCACCCTGCATTGTCAATTTCAAAGGGAAATCAGGACACAGCAAACTTAAAATCCTCCTAGCAATGACTTCTACCAGGCATTCATCATGCCCACTTAGGAGCAAGGATGTGGGAGATGTTACTGTGTAGTGTACACTTCTGTGAGTTGCGCTGGGGATTTAACTTCACTGTAAAAAGTGTAACACCTCTTACTTGTCTTTTTTCCCATTAAATTTTGTAATTTGACTACCAAGGTGAAGTTTTGATAGAGTTGACACATTATGTAAAGTAGACTTCATAAAAGTCACAGACACTGTAAATATCCTATATGAAATATACATAAGACATGACATTATAACTGACACACATGTAACTGGGATAACTCTCAGAAAGGTTACCTGAGGACAGAGGTTGTGGTAGACACAAAACATAGAAGCCTCTGATACAGAACACATGTTTTTTGTCCTCTGTGGTGGTAGAGAAGTTAGTACTCTTTCCATATTTAGATTGGTAGTATCAGGTGAACTCATGACACCAGCTA